GGCATGCACACCCAGGCTTGCACACCATATTGCAGTAATGATTCAATTAGAGAGTATATATAATTTTTAAAATTTGCTCATTTACAAAACGCCTGAATTGTAGTACATGCAGCCAGCCTATCATTTTAACTTTGTTGAACAGGTAATTTGGGTGTAAGCTATTAATCTCAGTACTCATCCAAAACAACTTCCTAGATATGAGTAATGTGTTACGTAGTCAATCTTGATACATTATCACTACAACGCCAATGCGTTGTGCATTGATAAGCGTAGCGCAGAGTTAATTTTCTAATTTTAAGTTCTTACGTTTTTTCGAGTTTTGGAAATGAATTACTTTGGTTTTCACAGCGATTAAGCATACAAGATGTGTTTCATAATGACCAGTTAACAATGTTGTTAAATTCTGTTTGTAGTTGTCTTTACATTTGTTTATGTCGCTATTAGAGTAAAAAGAAGCAAAGCAATCATCCTGCATACATGTAAAGTTTTGCAATTTTCTGTTTTTATATGTTGTTTGCATATATTAAAAATAGCACTGGGCCCTAAGCAACTTCCTTGCGGTACTCATGTTTGATAGTTTTTGGGATGACTTAAAGATATTGTTTATTTTGACTAATATTTTCTATTCTTTAGATAGGGGCTTTAAACATCCTTAAAAACCGAATCTTCAATGCCTATTTCTTGCAGTCTCTGTCAACAGAATTGTGTGACTAACAGTGTCAAATGCCCTGAGTAGTCAATGAATAATGCCATCACATCTTTCCTTTATCAAGATTTATATTTATGTAATTGTGGACTTGGACTCAGAGCTTCTTCTGTTCTTTACCTTTCTGAATCCATATTGTCTGTTTGTAATGTATTATTATATTATCGTTCATATATTGATAGAGTTTCTGTATTATGTACTCTCAAATGATTTTTTCAAACACAGGGAGGATAGATATAGGTCCTATAGTTATTAAGATCACTCTATATCTCCGCTTTTGTGAATGGGCCTAATAATGGAGCTTTTTTAACTCTTTTGGGAATATTCCATTTTCTAATGCACTTGTTTATATAGATTGCTTAATATCCACTCTAGTACATCTGCATTGTTCACAATATCTGTTGTTCTTATTCCATCATTTCCTGGAGCTTTTTTGATACTAATTTCCTTTTTTATATTTTTGATCAAGTCTTTTATCATTTGTAACAGGTAAATAAAAGCTGCAATCAGTTGTTTTGTTTCATGATAAATCCATTACTTCGTTATTGTTGCTAGAGTTGACCGTTGCTTTCTGTTATGTTTTCTACTTGTTGAATGAAATGGTCAAGCAACCTTATTAGAAGTAGTATTCAGTTTTGAAGCGGTCCCAAATGCCCAATCAGCAATTTGTTCATCAATATTTTATCAGCCTTCTATTTAGCATTTGTTCACCTCCTTCCATATTCCTGGCAATCATTTTCCTTTGTTTTGTAGAAGTATCGATCATGATATTCTTTCTTAGCATTTTCTGATTTCATTGTTAACTTTGTTCCGTATTGTTTATAAGCTCTTTTATTACATTTCTTTGTTGGGGTTAGACTTCCATCTCTTTCTTTTAAATATTTTTAGTTTAATCTGTCACTCATTTTTTTATTGATGTTCCTATGCCAGAGTATATTATGAAGTCTTTTTGTATTGTTTTAGTAAATTCCTATAATGTTGTTTAAAAGATGTTCACATATTCTTTAGAAACTTATCTACATTTGATCTTCACATCATTCCAATTATGGTTCCTGATGATGTAATTGATGATTTGTTATCATATATTTTAACAGTTTAATCTTGATGTCTCTTTAATGTTTTATTCTGTGGGTGTTATTGAGACTGATTGGGTAACTGATCAGAAATTTGTATTTAAGAGTGGCAGACCAAATTGCCTTAGCTTGTGATCTTACAAGATGTTGGTCGATTATGGAGCTGCGCAACTATTCCTTCTCTGATTTCCTCTTGTGAGTCTTCTATACGCATTCACAAACCTATTACTATATAGAAGTAGCTCATACTCATTTACTGTTTTGTTCTTTATATATATTGAATTGGTGTCGCAATAATGAGTGCAGGATGGTCGTTGGAGCTTCCACAAAGTTTTTTAATTTTTTTAGGAAGAATACGTTGTTTGTGTTGGTGGTTTGTAGATTATAATATTTCGTAAGACTTAAGTTTTTTTCGGTTTAATGCGTGCAGTTATGGCTTCAAAATGGTCTGCATTATAGTTTTACATTATCAAATATTAGATTGCTTTTATAAAATACTAGTATTCCCCTCCTGATTTAATTTCTCAATACGAGTAGCTTCTTTTTGTAGCCTGCTATGAAGTAGAGTCTACATCTTGTTTTTTTAGATTAGCTTCGGTACACAAATAATATCAAAGGAGCTATTGTTAGATTACCGCAAAAGCTGCATTCAGTGCTTTCTAAATGATCGAATGTTGATATGAAAAACAGACAATTTACCTTGATAGGAAAAAAAAAACATGAATTTTTTTCAAACAAACCCCCCGGGAATTTTTATGACAAATTTCTTGGCACTGTTCAATTTATCACACGCTTTAAAGTTCACTTGATGATTTCTTCTGTCACTAGTGTTCAATCCATTGTGAAGTAGTCAAAGTAAGTTTAATCCAAGTCTAACAAATTTAACATTTGTCTAAAGTCTTGACACTTAGGTGCTGCAATTACATGCGCATTGTCCCTTCGTTTTCTCACTAATATTGTCTGCAATTTTCACGCACACATATTTTCATGTTTTTTAGCCTGGCTTGTATCCTCAGTTCTTTAGTAGATCCTTTTTCTGGTGTCAAGTAATAATAATAATAATAATAATAATAATAATAATAATAATAATAATAATAATAATAATAATTCAGAACCGTATTTTAAATTATGAAATTCGATGAGAATAAATTTTGGAGCACGTAAATGTAAAATACACGCATTACACACTGCACCTCTTAATTCACCAGTGATATAAACAAGATCAAAAACTTTCTTTAATACCTTTTCTTTAAAATTTCAAATATGATGCGATGTATTATTTTCATTATCAGATTTAGTCATTTCTGTTGTCGATAGAAATTTAATATTTCAATGCCAATACTCTTTAGCATAATATTGACCCATTCTTATAAGATTTTCAACAAAATATTCAAAAAATATTCAGTTCGAATTAAATATTGCTTAACCAATTCATAATCATCATATTCATCCTCAAATTAAGGTAATAAATTAGATGTGAAACAAAAACTACTAGTTTGATGTCCATGAACATATTCTGAATTCATTATTTTTCGTAGAAGTTTCCTTAATGTACGTTCAAAATTACATGTTACAACAGAAGGATGTGGTTCAAAATCACATGGTGCTCAGCACCATATTATTTATACTCTCTTGTAAGATATTAAGGCATTTAATTCTTCTTTAATACATTGATCAATATGTTAATGTAAAGCCTTTCATTGTCATCATTGTTATTACACTTCAAACTGTAATGTCGTTTCGGGTTAACGATGAACTTCAAGTTTTACAAATGCACTTACAATTGTTATACATACACAATGATCTAGAAACATTACTATGTTGCAGTAATTTTCTATTTTTTATAATTTTCACTATACTATTTTGATTCGACACAATTATCTTTAATGTGATACATATTAATAGACACATTTCAATATTTTTCATATATTTTGATATTCGATGGTGTAATATATGCAGGATGTGGCATGTTTATATGTTCATACTGTGAAATATTGTGTAGATTAAGTCAATCAAGATGATAATATGCTGGAAATAATATACTTTTAATAGTACATTCAAAAGACCAATAATCTTATTGTTTTTCAAATTCGTTTTTATATGTTTTATTATTTTTTGCGTTTATGCAACATGTTTTGAGTTTTTTTTAACCAATCTGGTATTGGAATACAGCTACCTACTTTTAATGTAACTTACAATCTTAATTTTTTAAATTATGGTAATTATTATTTAAACTAAATTTTGAATGAGACAATTCTATTATTCCATGCACTCTAACTTTCTAAACGTTCATTTTACATCCAGATATCTCATCAGATGAAAAAATATCATAGAAACTTAATATATTTTTGAATTGATGCTAGTTTACAATTTTAATATGATCTCCTTACTTCATTCTTGAACATTCTGTAATATTATTATGCTTACAATACGCATACGGCAACTGCATTTGATTCATTTCCATTTCTATTTAACATTTTGATTAAAATACTTTTATTGAATAAATTATAGTGTTAAAATATACATTATTTTACGTAAGAAGTATGTTTCAAACACGGTTATATTTTATCTTATAAATGGATATGATTAAAAGAGAGATCCCGCCGTTACGCGCGCTTATTTGTGGTACGCGGTTACTCGCGTGTTAGATTTATTTCTCACATCCGTTAATGTTGTATTTATTACTTTATAACGGATGACACACGTGCATTAATATTCTAATAAATTTGTTATTGCGTTGTGTAACATGTGTACATATAAAATTGCCTAAATATGCCTTAGTGGCTCAATATTTGTTTCAGTACAACACAAGAAGTATAAGGAATGAAAATCAAACTAAATCATACAGTAAATTAAAGTCATAAAGTAGGCATATTTTCTTAAGATATATTTAATATTGATAAATCATAATGACAAATGAATTTTAAAAAATCCACACAATAGAAAATTTGAAAATTTATGAAGAACTACATTAAGCTCCTCAGAGCAACAAACATCACAGAGATACAGTCTTTCCTGTGTGTTCTCTACAAAGAACATTAGAGCAAATATTGAAGCGATGCTCCGTATATCTGTTTTTCCTCTATAGAAAATAAGAGCATTTTATTTTCTCTGCTTCAATATCCCCCTTTTCATTATTTGGTGGACCTTCAACTCCAGTAACACTTCTAATTTTGTCCTTTAACTGAAGTGACAAGTTACTTATTGACGCATGCTTGAACATGTGAGGTCTCGCAAGAGTTATGCTGAGCTGAGTCAGGAATTTTCTGCGAGACATCATGTCATTGGTATTTGTTTTATAAATGATCTGAGCATTGATTGCTCCAATGTTCATAAAACTGAGGAATATTGTGAGGGGCCAACGTTTGCTTATTCTTGAAACAGAATATTCTGATTTGAGGCGATCAACAACGTCTACACCTCCTGTGATAATGTTGTAAAACGTTATTATCTCTGATTTATTTTGGTGTGCAGATTTGGGATCAATCGCATCATCATCATCATGCATGGTAGAAATCATCAATACATTTCTGTTCTTCTTAGAAACATACGAGCAAACTAAACTCCGATTTTCCGGTTTCTATCCAAAAGCAAACATACTACTGTGCACTGGCCTACCTTTTAGTGATGCAAGTTCTGGAGGAATCTCTCGTTTATTCTTTCGAAGAGTTCCCACGACAGTTTTAGAAAATTTCATTCAACAATACATTTACAATATTTATATGTAAAGTTTTAGCAAGCAATACCGAAGAGAAATAATTGTCCATGGTCACATTTCTTCCCGTGTTATCAATTGAACTATCAATCTCAAAATTACACTGCTGGCATCATTGGAAATCTGATATGCTCCTTTGGGTTGTTTTCCAGAATATATTTCCGTATTGAACGTGTAAAATATTCTTGCATCACAAAGTGCATATATCTTTATTCCATACTTAGCAGGCTTTTTCGGGATGTACTGCCTGACAACGTCCTCTAAATGCTTTTAGCATTTCGTCTTCAGTGATGTATGCACTTTGACTGTAGCTACTTAGCAAGCATTTACAAACCGGACAAATATTTCTCTTTTTGGGACTAAATTGGCTTCCTTCTATCTTTGCGCCCTTGTTAGTTTATCATCGAATCTAATTGATTGCAAAATAGTGTAAAATCTTCGTTTACTTATTATTGCTGCAATAAAAAAGTCAGGTACAGTTCCGTCAGTGGTCCACAGTCCATCTGCATTTAGGTGTTGCACCTTTTTTACCACAGCAAGATACAGAACTCCGATAAACGACGACATTTCTTCAATGTCTGTTCGCGGTAAGTAACGCGAATTTCGTGAATATGAAGATCCCATTCGATCTAATTCTACGTTAGTGTACGCAACAATATTAGAGTATCAGTAAAGAAAACTTTCTAACAATCTAGCACAGTTTTCAAGTTTCTGCACTCACGTTTCACACCTGGCAGCTGCGTTACAACATTCTGTCGTGTCTTCTTTTTTGATGGCATTCTGTGTTTCAACCAGAATGTTGATCCATCTTTATCCACGTTTCGCCATTTACTCCTTGAGTTGCAGCTCCCAAAACGCTCTCAGAATCGCTGTTATCTGACTGCTATGTTTCGGTATCAAGATCTTCTAGCTCAGGTTCACCGTCTGTGTCAGAATTCATATCAATTAAAATATTTTGATCTTCTTCTTATTGTAATCACATTAATTATTCTAATCCGCTATATACTTTTCTCTAAAAAATAATATGTAATTAACGGACACTACCGAGAAAATGTACAGTGTGACGTAGTGAAATAAGAAATAAATTTCAATAACAAAAGAAAAATAATATATTAAAGATTATGTACAAGTTACAATGAATTGCTAATATTAAAACACTCCGGCAACCTTTTTCTTTCAGAACACTGCTTTACCGCAGAAAAAATACAAGCCACGCGTGATGCGCGCTGTCGGACCTCGGTCCCGTGACAATTACCGTCACATGGCCTGACGCCAAAATATAACCCGGTCGTGGCGACCGTGTGCCTACAGCACGCGAGATCGTCTGGCCCTTACTCTCCGGACATCTCGCCCTCACTCCTACACACCTCGTACATACACGTACAAGCTTCCCGATGCAAACTGAATGAGAGCGCGGGCGCAGATGGCGCCGCGTTAAATAGTTGAGGCTGACACCCCCACCACTGTTCCATAGGTAGGCTCGCCGGCTGGCGCGAGACTCGCAGGTTTGGTTAACGCCCACACACAGGGTTCTTAGGTTGGCTGCCTGCTTCCGTAAACGAGGCTCGCCGGCAGCATCCTCGGAGTTTACAGCCTCCGGTATTTTTGGCTCTGCGGCACTACCTGAGTCAACCGCCCGAGCGCAAACTCCCGGATGTTCAGGCTCAACCCCTTCCTCCCCCGCAGCGTACTTTCACCGACCTAACGGTTCTGGCCCTCGTGTTAACGACGCCACAACAGAAAGATATATTTGCTACATCTATGAATCATACCTTTCATATAAGGAATACTAAAAAATATACTATGGGTATTTATTTCTTAATGTTGTTAATAGAGATGTTATTAATGGGGTTTACTTTTTTCTTTAAGCCCTGTTCCTCTCTTTTCTATGTTCAAATTATGACGTTTCATTTATCTAATTCTGCTTTATTTTGTTCTTTTAATTGAACTCCGTCAATTAGCTTATAATAATGGCGCCAATAAATCCATCATATTTTATGGATAGTAATATTTTTATTTGTGGATGATAAATTAAAAAATATACCAGATTCTTTCTTTATATTTTTTACCTATTGTTTGTTTGAATGTAAAAATATCATCCAAATTAATATTTTTAATATTATCGGGCGATAACGTAAATGTAATAGATTTCTCTCTCGACATTTATTAGTATTTACAAAAATATATATTTTTTAAATTCCCCATGCAGGTTCATATTCCCATACCTAATTTTCTGCAATAGCATAGTGACTGTAGTACCAAACATTCGATCTTTTAAATGAGCATCTTTACTAAATATTCGTTTTTTGTTTCGTCTTGTAATATTTTATCAGCTTGATGTTAATAACTTCTCTCCTACCTCTTTCTGACCTAGATCCGAATTGATCTTCATCCACATTTTGTTCAATTTTACCTTTTATTTGGTTTTTGATTATTCGATGAGCATGTTGGAAGAATGTGATGTTAGAGAAATTGTTCTGTAATTTTCGCATGAAGTTTTATTTCCTTTTACTTTCTCGACTTACGAATTCTTCGTAAGAAAGAGTTTGCCTTACAAATTTTTTGTAAGATAAGTTATGTAATCGTGCGACGGGAAACGCCAAAATTTCGTCAGGTTTTGGTAACGAGAATGTGGATAAATAATGTTGCTAGTTTAAAAAAAATCTAACACGTGTAGCCAGAATCCATGTTTTGTTCGTTCCCAATTCCGACGGTCTAACGTCCTAATTGACGGCAAGTAATTTCTAATTGACGGCATAACGTCCGTTTGTCAGTCCGTCTGTGGTCAACGCTAGCGGCTAAACCGTTTAGCCGTTTCTCCAAAATTTATATTTCCCAATCGATTTGGCTGATGTCGCGAACCCTGGAATTTCAAACCGATATTTTAATTTTGGGGGTACATTCCTGGAAGCCCCCCGGACATTAGGAATTTTTTTAAAAAAAGGCCGCAAATATTTTGGTTAAATATTTTAGTTCATAATTGCGAAAGCCGTTTAAGACAATGGTGCAAGTCTCATTCTCATTTTTCGATACTTACAAAAAAAAAAAA